CTTTCCTTCCTTCCTTCCTTCCTTCCTTCCTGGCTCTCTTCCTTCTTTTCTTCTCCCTCCTCTTCCTTCTCCTCCCTCCATCTCATTCTCCTTATCTCTTGTTCTCAACTCCAAAATTTACTCTAAAGGTAAAGACTTCTGGCAGATGTCTTTAAAACCTAGTTTCAAAACTACCATGTCTTTCTTTGCTTGGGTCAAGTAGCAATAATGTTTTATTCTAAAATATACTTTATGTTCCCTTCCCCAAAACTTTGCTACAGTCTGAGTCATCCTCACAATAATTTTGCATTTTTCTAGAGCTCTTAAAAGAAAATTAGAGTTATGAGAAGGGTGCTTTTTCAAGTATATTGAAATGTATGCTTATGAATCTTTTCATAGAAGAAATATGGCATTTCTCTGATTTTTTTTTAAAGTATGAAATCCAGGTCGATGTGTTCAAAGTAAAATACCTGGTATGGGAAATTGGTGGAGAACTTGAAACAGTCAACTTTGTAAATTGTTTTTCTTCCCGAATTATATATATCCACATTCTAAATGCTTCCCCTGTTTTTTCCAGTGGTAAATAATAAAGTCAAGTGATGGTCTTCACCAGAAATATTTAGTTGCTTAAAAAATATGAGTTTGGATTACTTTGGAAGTAGATTGACTGTAGTGAAAAATGTAACCTTTTATAGGTCAGTTTTAAATAGATCAGTCCTTTGTTCCTTATTCTTTGAATACATATTCCCAATGACTTGAGGTTCAGAATACTATAGAATGAAAGTTCACTCAGATTTCCTTTTTATGAGATGTAATCTCTGGCTTTCCCATGGGAAAAATATCCCTTGGCTTTGGTTAGTACCTCTTAGCTTCATAACAGTGAAACTCCAGCCAGAATGAATGTGACTTGTAGAAATACTACAACTATCAATACCAGTAAGAGCAACACTCTCCAAAAGCTACTGCCTTCTCTTGGTATCTGTTGAAGGCATTGAAATACAACCAGAAATTACAATACTTTGGTAGCTGTTGGAATATCCACTGGAAAACCAAACCAAAAATTAGACAAAACCCCCTGAAAACCGGGTTACCAGGCCCTGTGTCTCTCAGGACCTAAGCTGTCGCTGTTCTCTCAAGCCCTGTGCAACCTTTGGTCCATCCCTCTCAGTTGTTTTCCATCCTTCCCTTGCTATATAGGCCTCACAGAAACTTAGTTAACTTTTTTTAAAGTGGAGTTTAGAGTAGCAGTATATTTTCACAATGATTTCATTCACTTTTGTTGTCAGAAATCTTACCTAGTTTGACTGCAAGTAATACCTAAGGACTGATCCAAATTCTACATCTGTACGACGTCTGTTTTAGACCCAAGTTAACAGTGCTGTACATATATATGAAAAGCTCCTCTAAAGCTCACTGAATAGATTGGTGCCAAGTCTCACTATAAACCACATTAGTTCAGAACAGTGAACAACTACTATGTTTTATAAAACTGATCCCCAAGGTCAGCTTTTTTGGAAAGGTACTATCAAAGCTAGAAGAAGCAGCCTTAGTTTTGCTGTGCGATGGGCTCTGGGACCACCCTTCTTGCTCTTTCCTCCCTAGTCTACCCTGCACTCCCCACCACCTTCTATGCTAGATATTCTTCCTTTGCTCTGATTTGCTAGGCCTAGGCTCTCTCATGCCTGCTCAGTAAATACTGTTTGTAACAATTATCCTAGTGCCAATGAAAAGAAACAGCTTTGTAGATTTCTTAGAGGCAAGACAGCAGTGGGTCACTTTTTGCTCTCTCTTGAATTATTACTTCCTTGTATTTTAAATTAACACAGCAAGGAGAGTGCTGTCTATCTTGTATTCCTAGGTCTTTGCAGAGTGTCTGGCATGTAAAAGATGTGGAATATGTTTATTACAGTGACACATAATAGATATGTAATGTATTTTATTATGATAAAGCCTAAAATTTATGGGCATCTCAAAAAACATGAATGTAGCAAGGAGTCTACAAGGAGTCACACACTAAGAAGAACACTCAAAGTGGGAATATTTTTCATAAAATTCTCAAACTGGTTATAAAACTTCTGCTTATGAAATTCACTAAAATCTAACCCAATACTCAAACCGATAGTTATAACGAGGGAGGGAATCCTAGTCATTTAATCAGTTGTAGTTTTATAACAAAGAAAAAACCCCATGATAGCTAAAACAGATCAGGAGGAAGCTCACCTGTGGATCAAGTTGATATTCTGAGTATCTTTTTCTTTGCTGCTCAGTGACTAGCAGTGCATTAGAAATTCACTTGTTATCAAAAGGTTATGAAGCACTCTTGTATCCCAAAGGACTGTGCACATAGGAAATGCGCACCTGTAGAGATCAGTATGTCTCTGTCCCTCATGACCTCATATGGATGGGACTCGTTCCCATATCTTTCTAATGAAATAGTCTATTGAACTTGGGAAAAACAATGTCCAAATTATAGAGGACTTAGAGGACCATCTAATACAAAATTTAATTTACATATGAAGAAACTATGTATCAGAGAGATTAAATAACTAGTCCAAGCCCATACATCTCATTCTTGCTTCTGTGACCTGAACCCAGACTTTCCAACCCTTAGCCCTGGGTTCCCTGTCCTGCTCCCATTCTGTCATCTTGCATTGGCTTTGTTTGGAAGAAGAGACTAGGAGCCAGGTAAAGCCCAAAGAAAAGTTAATTTGGAAAGCAGGATAGCAGACACTTGTCATATAAAGGAACTTAAAGTAGAAGAAAGTGAGTCATACAGATAGGGGAGTTAAAAATACAGAGTTAAGGCTCTCAACACATCATGTGCACACTGTCATCTCTTCTCATGGAAGGAGAAAAGAAAAGGGAGAAATGTTACTTTGCTCTGACCTGTAAGGAGTATGTGCTGAGAAGTGTGGCAGGCACAAACCCGGGTGCCACAGACACTCGCTCACACCAGCTCTCTGCGCTGGCAGTGCGCCATACATGGCAGAAGCTCCGGCACTTCTTACCTGATGGTGCCGGGTAGTGGTGACAACTGAGAAGGGCTGTTTCTATCTTGAATTGGAGGAAAAACAATTTTAAAAACACACTGTTAGAATGTGTCTAAGTTATTGACCACTAAGAAAGCTATACAGGAGGCCCCATAGAAACAGGGTGTTTGATTATTGCTTGGAGAAGAATTATAAAACCAAGGATGTTTCTACCCTCAACTATTTCATAAGTTTGTATTAAGGTCTGAAGTTAATAGTAAAAATGTGTGTATTATTCCTGCCTCAGAGGCTGGCTGCGGGTTATGCTTTGTGTTACTCTTGTGTCAGGGAGGAAGGGCATGGAGAGGTCCCCATGTAGAGGGGCGGGGGGGGCTGGTGAGGATTCTACTCTGCTGGGAGCTCGCACTCTTGGAGTGAGCTTCGTGCACATGAGCACCTCAGTTTCCATTTTCCACAAAAGCTCCGGTGTAAGAGTAGGGAAAGAGTAGGAAAAAATTGAAAAAGTAGACAAAAATGGTAGAATCATACTACCAGCTTGACCCTTAGTAAAATTATTTGAGAGACTAAATGAAACAGAAGCCATTTGAGAATGAATTTATTCTACAGTGAGTGAGATGAAGATCATTCCTGGGCTTCACATGCTGAGGGTTTTCCTGAAGGGAAAACTCGGGTATCTGGGGAGCCAGATGTAGGGCAACACATTGCCAAGACCAGAGGTATGTCTGTGTCACTTGACCAAGACCGTCCTCAGCAGAGATCAAGAGCCAGTTCAAGCACAAAGGATGAGCCACTTGCAGCAGACCTCAGAGATATCTTCTGTGGCAGTTTGTTTGTATCGTTTACAATTGTTAGTGCTGTCTTATGATGGGGCATGACTGGCATTTTCAGCAATCATCTGTGATGCCTTTCCCAAAAGAGGACTAAGGCATTAATCTTGCATGCTTTTAGAACTATTTTTAAAATGCCTGATTTTTGTTCTTTAGTGCCTGCTTTTTAAATTTCCCCCTCTCTGCAATTCTTGGTTTCTATCTCATTGAATGCAGAGGATTTTAATTGTTGCTGTCTATCTGTGCTTTTTGGGCTCTTGTGTTGCTTTGGGATTGATGGGTTTTGTTTCTTAGCAAGCAAAATCTCCATGTAGCCAAACTGAGTCGCAAATTTCTTCTTTTTTCCTCCTATAGCACTGAAAGCCGAAAAGAGAAGAAAGCTGACTCAGGGAAAGGTGTTGACAGGGAGACTTGTCTATGACTTGATCTTCAATTTATTTTTTACATATATATGAGAAGAGTGTCATAATTATTAATAAAACTGCTTTGATCATGTATTGTAAATTCTGTCTCTCTTCCCAAATCTACCTTCACGATGTAAGTAGTGCAATACTTGTTTCATTTCTGTGTTTAACCTTCTCAACAGTGAGACACCCTTGTGAGCAGGTACAGTAGCTGATGTAAGAATCCATGTGTTCCTTGCTATACGTTAGACATTTGTAAACACTGGATTCTCATTGTGAGCTTTATGAGAGCAATAGCTTTCTTAAAGAGATAAGTCATAGTTACCTAGTTTATATTTTCCTACTTTAATATCATGAAGATGCCTGACAATTTCCTGCAGAAGAGTTTTGAAAGGTAGTCTTACTCCTTTTTATTTTTATAGCTTAGCATTTGTGACTTATTTCATAACACCCAAATCAAAAAATTACTTTGAAAGCTTTTTTTCATAATTGTATTTATGCATTTCCTTGATGTACTGATACATTTAATACTTAAGAATTTATATATAACTGAAGCTTAAAGTCCTTTGAAAACAATATAGACACTTGTTCACAATTTGTTAAAAAGAATCAGACACCAATGCAGAATCAAGCAATTTTTGCTTACAGTTCAAGTTATGACTACATGATCCAACTTTAGGCCTATATAAAATGCAGTAGAAAAACTTTATACATTTTATGGGATTTTCAGCTAAAATCTATCAGAATAGACTGTTAAAGTTCTCTCCCACTGACAATAGCTATTTTTCAAATAAACCCGGATTACCACATGGTAAATCATTGTTCCACTCTGTACAGTCCCTCTGCTGCTAATGGTCGTGCACTGTTTAATGCTGGTTCTCAATCATGGTATAATGTTAAACCAACAGGCCTCCAGTTGTAACTTTTTTGCAAAGATCTTTTCCACTTTTTAATTAAATGCATGTTGTGGAAAAACAATCTTTTAAATAGAAATTTCAGATTATGTTTGGGAAGGTTCTGTAGATATTTCGGTCCATATGAAGTAATCCATCTTTACTGAGTTTACGCAAGATGAAGGAAAGTTGAGGATTCTTGAGCACTACCAAAAGTGTAATATTTAATTGCATTTTAGATGAATGTGAAGTTAATAAAAACTAAATGTGATGGTAATTCAGAGTGGGACATTCTTGGCTCCTAAGAAAAATGGGCGGTCATCAACCTTATGGCACTCCAGTGTCCAGTGTTACAGTGATTCAGAGCCATGGGGCCTTTATAAACTACTACACACTCTGTGTATAAACGCACAGGAAAAGTGGGGAAAAATCTTTTTTGTAACTAAGCTAATGAGAGGGGGAAGACCAACAAAGCCTCCATTAGATTCAACATTTTATTACCTTTAGAAAAAAATGTGTCCTCATAATCCTTGATGGAATTATTTTTATGGAAAATGAGTTAAAGATTTATGGGAGGAAGAATTTGCAGTTAATAAAGTTTGTATTTATAAATACTGAAGAAAAATACAGAAATTTATGTTCCAAATATGTTGCCTTTGTGTATTTTATAATACTGATATTATACTGTAAACATTTCCATTGTTTTATGATTTTAGCTAGTCAGTTCCAAAAGCAATCCCTTAGTATTTTAATATATTAAGAACTGTTCTGTTAAAAATGATCATAGCGAATTAAAACCTTCATGTGATCAATGATTTGAACACACAATCATAGCCAATGAAATTCTGTATTTCTGAGTATTTTTATAGTCATTTTGTTCTTGTGTGAATTTTAATGCTATTCCTATGTTAATCCTAATATTTTGAAATCATATAAAATATAAAAATGTAGTGTTATATATGTATATGTATATTTACTTCTAATTATAGATTCCTGGTCAAAATTAAGGAATATCTTGAATGTAATTTATTGCAAAGTTTAAGTAATGTGTAAAAGTGACTAGGATATTGTGTTTTTCACAACTAAGAAATGTTATGTGGAAATAAATATTTATCCTAATATCCTTGCATATTTTAAATTATGACGCAATGTGTCTTGTCTTTGTTTTTCCTTCATATCAATCAGTAAATCAATGTAGAAAGTCTTGATTGTTCAGATATAATATTAAGTATGCCCACCATTGAGAAACCTTGGTGATCCAAAGATTCTAAGAGTATTTCAGCAATATATGCTTTGTGAGCAGAAAATAACATATTTCTTCATTCTTACAGAGAGCAATGTCCTGGGCTGAAATGGCATGGCTCTTTTGACTAGTCAAAAGTCCTAAAGTCAGTATGATTCCCCATCTTTAGAAAGCCTTAACTCCTGTTTTGAAAAGAAAACTACTGTGAAAAACGTGTCCCCTCCCTATTTGTTGTGAAGGTCAAGTGGCACCTTCATTCTTCTGCAGCCGTGTGGCAGTGTGTTGTGGAGGTAACTGCACTCAGAATGTTACCATACTGCTCATGGTCTCTTGACTAGTGAGTTTACTTTGTAATTGCTACTACTTCACCACATACAATATTGGGAAGTTTTTCCCACATATAACCTGAATGTCTCCTTGGTGTAATTTGGGCCTGTAATCTGATAACAACGCTCCAATGATAATTCCTATATCTTTAAGGATTTTCCCTGGGTCTTCCAAGTGTGGCTAATCTGTTTCCTAATTGTATTGATCCGCTCCTGTTTCTGTTTAGCCTTCGCCTGTTTAGTTCCAAGCACTTGACTGTTTTTCTATCATTATAAGCTTGCTCTCTTTTTCAGTATGTCCATCTCGTATATCCATGCAATGCAATGAACTGAGATTACAATAATTTGAAAGTTTTATGAAAATAATTTGGGTAATGTGATTAGTAAAAGGTGTATCTAAACATCTACTTTCAGAAGGTAGTTTTCAGTTAGTAATGGTCATCTTCTAGATACCTTAGTTTTTCCTGGCAGAAAGCTGCAGTTGACTGATACCACTGTCCTCCCTAATTTAGTGGTTTTTTGTTTGCTTGTTTGTTTTGTTTTGTCTTTGTACTGGGAATCAAACTCAGGACCTTGGGCTTGCCAGGCACCCAATTTAGTTTCTACTGGTGTATTGGGCACTATCATTTGTACTGGAACTATGAAAAGAGGACAGTGATCTTCACTTCTAAGGGCAGGGTGGATTGTAATATAATGTAATTTAATGTAATATAATTGTAATATAATGTGATTTGTACTGAGTTGGTGGTCTGGGTAAAACAGTAAGTAATTCAAGGGTGAGATATTGAGTAGGACAGAGTGAGAGGAAAACGTTACAGAAATATCATGTGAATTAGAATAGAAATGGGGGAAAATATACATCAGCAACTGCAAATGTTCTCAAAGCCACGTCATTCTTGAAATAAAGATAAGTTCAATCAATGTAAAATAATTGGCATCACCAGAGTCAGGCATAATTGATATATGCTATATTTTGAACTTAGCAAATAACCCAGTATAGTGGACTGTTAGTGGGGTGCAAGAGTTGTAAGAAAAGGTAGAAACACAAATTAGAGACATGATAAATGATATTAAATTCTATAAGGCATTTGAGTTTTATCCAGTAAGAGCTTTTAGTAATGGATATACCTGAACTTTTGAAAAGATTAAGTCTGGCAGTACAGTACAAAATATAGTGGAAAAAGAGTGGAATCATTTTCTTTGGGATTCTGATCCCAAGAAGACTCTCAGATAATCAAACAAAACTTCCTGTGAACAGTGTCTAAATTTCTATTAGTACTGAAACCAAGTAAGTTCCATGGGTGCTTAACAAGTGAGCCAAGATGCAATAGCTTTGTTATAATTCTTTTTATGTATTTACATAAGCACACTATACACCAGTTTAGTTATATGTGGAAAAATTTTTCCAAAAAAAATGGTCTAAACACAGTAAGACTGAGATTATTAAAGAAATCCAAGATCTGAATGTAGCACAAATTTTAGTCAATGGCTGCCTCATCAGTTGCAGAAGACGCATGGCATCCTACCCAGCTCATTCATTTTTTTCTGTGTCTTATTCTTTCTTTTTGGTGTGTTTGGAGTCATGTGCTTTAGTAATGTGACATATTTCTTCCATGTGTTCATAAGCTCTTCCAAGGTAGAGATGATATTTTACCCTTCCTTTGTAACTGTCCAGAGTTCTGTACTCTGCTGTTTACCCAGCCAGCAAAAGCTGTTGACAGAATACTAAGTGAAATATCCCAGAAAATGCTATTTGTTGGTTTGTTAAGAATGATTAAAGGTCCAAAGTGGGTTCTCACTGTTATGTCAGTAATAGTGCTTACTGAGCACCTTCACATGTCCAGAATCTGAGGGCATAAAAACCTAAAGCAAGAACCTGTGCAGTCTATGGATACATCAAGGTGGGAAACACAGCTAAATAACTATGAACAAGAGGAAAGAAAAACAAAAGTAGAGCACCAGGCATTGCATATATGTATATCATCTGAGCAGGGTGATAGTTCTCTGAGGTAGGGATGTTTATACTGTTTCAAATAAAGCACTAGAAACAAAAAGCCTAAATAACATTAAGTGTTTCCCACTGGTGAGTAGTGGCACTCATAACCTGACGCTGGGCTGTCCATCTGACCCTCGCTGCAGGGCAGTGTGTCTCTAGCAGGAGGTGAGACAGGACTGCTTTCCTGCTTACTCGGGTATGCATTCTGGCCCATAAAATCCACATCAGGTTAAGATGAATGATACTTTTGCTCAGTATGTTAAATTTTCTTTATCATTCATTTCTTTCTCATTAATATTAGAAGCCAAATCTATGCAATAACATGAAATCCTTCCTTTTTTTCTCATGACTCAGAGATTTGACTTTAAATAGAAGGAAATTAAAGTAGTACATTTGATAGTCGTAGTCCTCAGATTCCATATCTGTGGATTCAACTAATTGCAGAAAAAAACATTTGGGAAAAAAAGCATGTGGATGCAGCATTTACAGCATTTTTCTTGCATTATTCTCCTAAAATATAGCATTAAATAGCATTTACAATGTATTAGGTATTATAAGCAATCTGAAGTTGATTTAAAATATATAGGGGGATATACCTAGGTTATATGTAAATGCTATGCCATTTTATTTGAGTTTTCTTGGTTTTTGGTACCTATTTCTATAAGAGGATGTAGAACAAATCCCCTATGAATACCTAGAGATGGCTATAATTAAGAGGTTTTGTTGTTGAATAATCACACTTCTCACAATATTGACAGTTGTTTTTAGGTAATTTGACAAACTTGTAAAATTGGCTCAGATGGAAAGTTTGTGTAGAATAAGAACTGAGTTTACTAAAGTTTAAAGGATGTAAGTACCAAAAAAGTCAATTTCTCAGCAGCAGTAAGAAAGTTCTCTCTCTTATTACTAAATCAAATTCTTGGGATTAAATCTTAATATTGTCACAGAAAAGTGACCCACAGAAAGATCATAAATTCCTACTAAGCATAGCATGAGTCTTATTAATGCCATGCTCTGAGCTTTTCTTATTAAGTAGTGAGTGATGTTATACATTATACCACAACTTCTCTCTCATTCTCAATAATCTGTATCCCAGAGGTGTCCAGATCATATATTCTAGGCCACCGGAGATGTGTGCAAAAATATTTCTGGACCTGTATAGATAACTGACTGTCACAAAGTTTGCACAACAAAATTTTCTTACCTTATAAAAAAAGCTATGCTTGTTGTCTTAGTTTCTTTTCTCTCATTGCTGAGACAAAATACCCAACACCTAAAGTTAAGGAAGGAAAGGTTTATTTAGCTCACAGTATGTGAAGGTTTCAGTCCGTAATTGGCTGGCTCCCAGACAGGATGGCATGGCAGAGGGGCAGCAATTCATGGTGGTGGAAGATGCCAAAGCAACAAGAGAGGAGAGAAAGAGACAATCCTCCTTTGGTTCCTTATATACTATTCAGACTGCTGGGGTTAGGGAAGTGCCAATCCAATCAGTGGACTGATCCAGCAATCACTTACCTTTAATTCCAGCACTCATAATCCCAGCACTGCACTATAAATCAATCACACACTCTAGATTCAGCTGCCTCCTAAAAAGCCCTGTCTACAGGTACATGAAGATTTGGGGGGAAATCCAGACACAAATCTTAACACTTGTGTTTTGGTATGTTTTTCATTTAAAATTTATTGACTCTTAAATATTGTGCAAATCTAGTCCTATTATAAATCAGTGTTCTCACATCAACTTAAAGCAAAAGCGGCAAATGTCAAGAGGTGGAACTGATAGCCTGTGGATAAAAAAGAAAACAAAACATCCAGAATGACATACACCCTGATGTGATCATTGATCTTTATGCTGGTGCCTCTGAGTCACCAGGGATGTGTTGGATTATGTTCTGTGCCTGCTATTTAAGAAAGCATGAAGATATGTAAGTATTTTTAGCAAGGTGTCCAACAAAAATGTTTAAAAATAATTTTTAAAAATGATTTTCTGAAAATCTTGATAGAAGGCTGGGGATGCAGCTCAGTAATAAAGTACTCCCCTGGCACGTGCAAGGCCCTAGGTTGAATCCCCAGCATGGCCCAAGGTAAATAATAGAAAAAATTAAAATGTTAATGGAGACTTAAAAGTCTTGTATCAATTGTATCGAGATGTGAAGCATTTCTCCCTTTGATTATCATACATGACCCTGGTGGTGATACCTAACAGGTTGTTTTTGAAAGGAGTCATCGCCATCCACATGCCCACAGAGGCTGGAACTGTCATCAGAGGAAAAATCTACACCTCTCAGTGGTATGGTATTTCCTGTATGTTTCAAAATGACTGTCAGGTTAAGTTTATCTCCAATTTATCTATCAATTTCCTTGCCTCATTTTCCAATACGCTAATCTAAAACTATTACTGGATTTGTATATTTAATTTAAAACTATTACTGGATTTGTCCTCTGGGAGTCAAATAAAAAATATTTTGTATGTATTCACATCATTCCCATTTATAACCCACATTTCCTGAAAAATATGTGCTGTTCCAGAAAAAATATTTAGTATGTTTTAAAATGAAAGAATAATGAATTTATAATAA